GATCAATGTGCGTCTGTCATGCAAATTTAAATTTGTCCAAAACGAAAGGAGAGGGAACCGCAAGAAGTCCCAGCCAGATCTCAACCGAAAAAGTTGAAACACAGAGAGAAAAGGTATGAGATTTTATAATCCAAAGAAGATAAATTATATCTTGCTTTATTTACATTTAAAAACTCTATTATTAACTGCTTAATATTTGAGTTTTTAAAAAGATCTACCTTTTTTTTGGCTCTGCAATAGGCTGATGTTGCTGCCGGGCCTAGACAAGCGGCAAGTTAATTTATGCACAACAGCAACAACAGGCGGCGGCACGGCAACAACACAATGCCAATAAAGGCTTCGAGGCAGACACAGCCACAGCTAGAGCAACAGCAACAGCAACAACTAGTTGCAACTTGCAACAACGGCAACAACAATCTGAAAATTGTTTATGCGTCTGCGCAGCCGCAACTTGGTCGTCGCCGTCGCCTTCGCCTTCGCTTTTTCTTTTTATTTATTTTGCTTTTTAGCCTCTGCAACTTGTGGCGCGTTTAGTGTTAAACGCTTGATTAAAATTCTTGTAACTGCAACACTTTTGTGGCATGTGTTGCATTCGTATTGTTGTTGTTGTCTGCGATCTTTATGGAGCGTGTTTTGTATCCTTTTCTTTTCTTTTCATCGCTGAGGCTTGAGCGGAGTACGAGTATCGTATGTTGCATATACGTATATATGTACCTACCTTGCGGCCATGCGTCCCGACTTTTGTTGTTGCACGTTCATCTTGTTCTTTTTTAATTGAATTGATTTGCATTTTTCACGCAGGCGTTGCTCATTCAGTTTGCACTGCTGTCCCGCTGTTTGCATTGTCGTCAGTGGGTTAAGACGAGGGGTTTGTTGAAGGTCGGCTCGCAGGGAAAGATTAATATTGGCGAAAGCAGGAAATGTGGTCATTTAAGACTGGCATGTAAATTGAGCCAAACTTAGAAGAGCCAAACTTGAACCTCCTCTGAAGGAAACTAGCTTTCTTGAAGTTCTTTTTCCCCCAAAAACCATTTAATTTCGGTTAATTATAGCCTTACATGCTTCAACACGCCCCAACTACTGATTCGAATTGAAAATTGTTATTAATTAATATGTAATTGTAATGGGCAGGCGACACGCCGCAGCCCACATATGTAGCCCACTCCAGTGGGTGGCTAGTGGGCGGTGGTGTCAAAATCGCTGCCGGCCTTAACAAATTAATAAATTTGACCAGACACGAGAAAACCACATAAATCAATTTCAGTAAAAATGCGCTAAACAATCATAAATAATAATTAAATGCGCTTCTCCAACTATTTTGGGCAATAAACTCGCCTTTTGTTGGATAATTAAAAACTGTCCGTAATTATTGAAATTTGTGGCATCAGCGGGCAGACACTGGTTAACCGAATGGCGCGTAAATTGAAAAAAAACCAACAACAAGAACAAGAACAAATTACTCACCAAAAATTTAATTCGATTAATTGAGGAAAAGTTGAAAAATTGAAAAACGAGCCGAAGGCTGTCATCTCTCTTACATGGCTCGTTAGATCGGTTCCTGTGCCTATTCCTGTCATCTATCCCGGCCATTTGTAACGGTTAATTGGGCAAAGGGTAGCTGCTACACTTGGCCCACATCCACATATATCCGATAGCATAAACATCCGAGCTGGTCAAAGCCAACTTTCCACTTCTAATTGCACATTTGTATGCCTAATCGATCTGTCGGATTCGATTTGTTTCCCCGTCTCTCATGGAATTTGTGTGCCGTGTTGACTTTTTTTCAAATACTTTCCAAATACCTTCCCACTCCCCAATGCTCTTTATATTTCTGTTTCATTTGCTTCTAGCCCGGTCGAATGGCTTTGGCCAGGTGTCCGTTTGAACCGTTAAAACAAATGAAGCGTGACATTTTCCACATTTTCTTCTCGTTTTTCCGGCAAATGTCAGGAAACTGGAGGGGATAGGGGCCGAGCTCTATGTAAATTGGGTGCACGACAAAGGATTTCCATGTGATTGTCTGTCTGAGCAACCAATTGCTCTTAACTGGTTGGAATTACATTGATGAATAGGTGACGAGGGGGGTTAAGGGTCAAACGAGTTATAAAGGGTCATTAGAAACGGAAGGGGCAGTGATGTGATACCTGGTACGTACCCCTTTCATAACCTCTCTCGAAGTATAGTATCAATTAGAGGGTATCCTTTAGTCATCTGTCATTGTCCTAGCCATTTGGAGTCTACCAGTCCTGTCTGAAAAGAAAATAACACCCATTGGCTTTATATTTTCTTCTTCAAACTGTCATAAGCTCTTTGAAGTTGACTTTGTCTGCCTTCTCGCTTACATATCCATTGCGTGTTGCAACAAATGCTGGTCATGTAAATCCCGAGCTGCAAGTTTATGTGTTGCATGCACTCTCCCCATGCTGATACACACATTTTTATAGATATTGGAATAATGCCGCTGCCCAGACAGCCACAAAACCCACATGCAATTCCATTTCGCTGTTGCACGCAATTAAAATCTTCATTAGCCGCGTTTAATTTCCACTTTTGATTAAAATAAGAAAAAAATACAAAACAACCAACAACTGGGGAGGGAGAAAAGCGAAAAGCAGGCAGAAACGCAGAAAAATCTTGTGACATGTGTCGTTGCTTATCGCAATCAGCCGCTAGCAACAAGTGGAGTTGCAACAGCACTGGAAAAAAAGGGGAAATCATGTAACTATTTAGGAAATATAAGCCAGGAGAAGTAATGGGTATCATACAGCTATGAAGTTTTAAATCTAAGAGGAAAAGGATAGCAGAACAAGTACCGGGTATCACAAAATTGGAGCATTTTCTCACTGTGTAATGATGGAAAAGGAGTCGCCTGTCTGGGGCTTTCGGTATCCGGTCCTCGCCCGACTCCTCCAGGACTCCTCGGACACTTTGTCTGATTAACGTTGGCCGCGAGTCGCTATCAATATTGGGCCTAAGTGACAGTTGAGTTGTTTATCAATTGACAGTCGTTGTTGGCCCGTTGCGGAGATTTAGTTTTGAAATAAAATATAAAAAACGTTAAGGACGCGGTGGCTTAGAGGGGTGTGAGGCAAGTAACTGTTAATAAGCTTGTTCGGCGGCCTGTGAAAATGTTGATTTTAATTAAAAGTCGTTGCCGCTTGGCGGAATTTCTGCTTTTGGCTGCTTTGCCTGCTGAGTCTCTGCCAAGTTTCTGCTGTTTTGTAAGCTGTATTTTAAAGCCCGATGCTGTCACGATAAAAAGCCAAAGAGCTCATGTTCAACAACTAAGTAGTTGCCACAAGTCAAGATATTGTGCGAGTGCATAAATATTTTTCCTCGTGTTTCCCATTAAATCATGTTCAAGTCGGGCGGCCTACGCAATGTGAAGTATACTGTTCTCACCGAGATAACGATACATTCCCCGATTTTAACCATTTATTTGGCAATAATAAATACGCCAAGTGAAGGGCAATTTTTTAAATATTTTTCAAACTCACAGACTTAGAGCTGAGACCATTTGTTTGCACTTTCCAGTTGGTTTGCCTCAAGTTCTGCTTTTAATTTCTGAGGCTTGCTTCTTGCCGTTTTAATTGGATTTCTTTTGCGGCCACAAACAACAGCAAACTTCTTGGCCAGCCAGAACTTTTTACCCACTCTGGACATGTTTATTACTTGGCCACAATTAAGCCGTATACTACTGGCTAGGAGACAAAGGCAGCTCTCCTGCTGTTCTTGGTCTGTAGGTCAGTGGATTCTCCATAGAGTTGCAGTGGCTTTGGATAGCCCACTCTCTAATGAGCTCTACCGGGGGAATGAAGTTCAATGTTGTGGCTTGTAAATCTCCCCACATGTGCTCCACTTTCCGGGGCCGAATCCCATTTCCATAAATATCAATTAAGCGAGAGCAGAGACTATCAAAAGTGACAGAAACATGTGGATGCGTCTCAAGTTGCCTCCGGGCTGCATGGCTGCCGGACTGCCTGGGTGCCTAGCTTCTGGTTTCTGGACCGGCTAACTGGGTGACTGGCTACCTGGCCTACGCAGTTTTATAATTGGACAATTTAGTGAGGTGCTGCCAAGTTACCCCAGCCCAGCCCCCTGACATTTCCACTTAGACCATCCAATTGAGCTCATCAAGTTTTGTATTCCGTAGTCTATAAAATGTGAATGCTACCATTTGGGCGTTGAAGCATAAAAAGTACTCCTCAATGTGGGCGGGTCTCCATCGAAATTGGAGTCGTGTGCTGGGGTTAAAGCTACGCTCCAATGGATATACCCCAAATTCAATTAGTCAAAGTCATAAAGCTCCGCGCTGTGTCGCCTAAGCGGCTTAGTCTTCCACAAACACTCACGAAAGTATACGAAAATTGTTATGAAAATGCTTTCACTAATTTCCAGAGCTGGCTGGCTTCTAATTACTCCAGCAAACGGTGGGGGAAAACCGTTTTCTACCAAGATGATGTTACTTAGTCACTTGGCATCCACTAAGCGGTCACTAAGCGTCAATATTTCATGCCTAAGCCTATTACAGATTATTGTGCCAGCTTACACGAGACGCGGATGACAAGTGTGGCGGATGGAATTCAGTTCCAGGACGGGGGGCTGCTGACAAGCCTTGATTGGAGCCCTCATTGGGCGTCTTATTTGCATAATGTTGGATAAATAGTTGGGGAGCCTAGCAGTTGTCAATTAGAGGGGAAAAATGCCTCTTCCATAAATTCAGTTTAACTTCTGGCTCTCATTAAAGCCTCGAAATTTGATATTTATGAAAAGTAGAGCCTCCGATTTTGTTGGCCAACCTGCCAGGCATTTGCACTCTGGGGCTGCAAACATTTCATGAATTCATTTGCGCGACAGCCCGGAAAATGTGTGTGTTTGCCAAAATGAAAAGTTGCCCAGCCAGGCGGTAGAACAAACGTGATTACCAGCCAGGCAGGCTTTCCCCTTTAAATGGATCGGCTCATCATGTGGCAGGCTTAGTTGCAAAGTAGCATCCCGCAGAGATGAAGCTTCAGCTTTTCCTGATCGTGTGCTTCGTTGTTTTCTGTTCGGGCAGGAAAACGAAACCCTTGAAAGGAGAAATTTTAAACTGGATAGGTTCTATAGTTTTCCCGCCAACCACGCCTTCGACAACCACTTCCACAGACTCATCCAATTCCACCAGCACAAACACTACAAGTACCACAACCACAACAACTACCACCACTACCACTACCACTACCACCACACCACGGCCGGTCGAAAGTCCCTCCGGTGAGAGGGATTGCCCCAGCTGTCGATGTGGTCAGATTAATACCCTGAACAAAATAGTAGGGGGCCAGGAGACCCGGGTGCACCAGTACCCCTGGATGGCTGTGATTCGGATCTACAACACTTTCTACTGCTCCGGATCCCTGATCAACGATCTCTACGTGCTGACAGCTGCCCATTGCGTGGAAGGGGTTCCTCCTGACCTCCTTTCTCTCCAGTTCCTGCAGCACAATCGTAGCCAGCCGCATGAGGAGCTTCGCATCCAGAGATCCGTCAGCAGGGTCAAGGTGCACGAGCTGTACAATCCCCGGAACTTCGACAACGACATAGCTCTGCTGCGGCTCAAGCAGCCGATGGATGTCACCAATCCTCGCCTGCGACCCATCTGCCTGCCGGTATCCTATCACAGTTTCGACCACGAAGTGGCCATCGTCACTGGCTGGGGAGCCCAGAGAGAGGGAGGTCCTGCCAGCGACACTTTAAGGGTAATCTCTTCCTCTAATCTATATTCATTTTTCCCAATTATATTACTCCTTATCCCCAAGGAAGTGGAGGTTGTGGTCCTAACCCAGTCAGATTGCCGGAATCACACAACCTACAAGCCCGGACAAATTACAGACAATATGCTGTGTGCAGGATTCACTGCTGAGGGAGGCAAGGATGCCTGCAGCGGAGATAGTGGAGGCCCTCTTCAGACCGTCTTCGACGAAATTCCAGGACAGTACCAGCTAGCCGGCATAGTGTCTTGGGGAAAGGGATGTGCCCGACCCCAATCCCCGGGGGTCTACACGAGGGTGAACCAGTACCTCAACTGGCTGGCCAGGAACACGCCAGGAGCCTGCCACTGCATGCCCTATCCGGAGCAGGATTATTAGCAGAGTCTTCCAAAAAAGAAAATAAAATAAACAAAAAAATGTCCCATAACATCGATCATGCAAAGTTTGTAACTTGTTGGCCAATTTTAAGCGAATGTTGCAGAAACTACTCCGGGGAGCATCTCCCCCATATCCATAACCACATCCTTGACTGCAGCTATTGGCAAATAAAAAAGCCACTCGAAAACTGGGTTACAACACTCGAAGGCAAGACCAGACCCTTCTAGTTCCTCCTCCTTGGAGGAAAGTTTCGAAAGCCAGAGGAACGAGGCCATGTATCTCGTACATATAAATCCCAATTTGCCAGCGAAATATTTTGTGCAATTGTGATTGTTATGCATTTTGCATTTTGCATTTGTGCAATCGTGAAATAACTCTCTCCCAAGGACACGGCAAACTCGCAGGAGTAAGTTTCATTTCACTTATATTTGCGGTTAGTTTCTGGCAATCCAGGTAGGGCTTATTTATGAAGTTTACGACTCGGAAATGGCACAAGATAGCCGGAAAGTTTATAACAAATGTACAACAAATTACTTGCCGTGGGAAATGGCAAATTTGGTTTCGATTTGTTGCTTATCGGGACTTAAATTCGAATATATTTGGGAAGTTTTATTCGTCATATATTTGGGGTAAAGTTGTAACTGTTCGGCACCCAAAAGCGTTTCCCATCAAACCAAAAATCGCCGAAACCTCACCTCACCTCAAACCTCTGGGAAGTGCCGTGTGGAGCTCCATAAAGCATAAAGATGCATATGTAAATAGTTTCTACCAGCATAGCGGCCATGCAACATTAAAAATCTTTACGACTCGTATTAAAGCCGAACACAAAACCCAGGGGGAATATGCGAACAGTAAAGTAAACATTAATGCCTTGCCAATAAATTTGTCTCACCACCAAAACTCGTAAAGATTTCCTACTCAGCCCCATAAAGCAGTCTCGAAAAAACAAAAAAAAAAACAACCGAACAGGGAAAAGGCCTGGGTATGGGCCTCTGATGTTAAAGTACTGCCGACCTGCGTGGATTTCCAGCTAAACGACAAATAACTTGGCATTTAATAACTCAACAAGCTCCCCTCGCCTCCTCTATTGGCGGCTTCATTATAATTCAGCCAAAGTCCCGACTTTATTTCAGGTTCCATAACTTAATACTTGCGCGCTTTGTCGCAAAAACGAATTTATGATTCGAAACGAAAGCCCGGATTGGGAATTATTGTGTGTGTTCCAGAGTGTCTGGACGGTATAAAAAAAAACGTGAGAGAGAAATAATTATTTATGGATTAGGAGAGTTCTGAATCTTAATTTTGAATTCAAAAATAACGACAAAGTATCGATTAATTAGGGCTGTCACCATTGAACCCCAAAACACCTAATTTTTCCAACACACATGCTTTTGTTTTCAGGACTACTTGACTGACAAGTGCTTTCACTCCTTTCCCATATTTTGGTCTCTCTGTCAGCTGATTGGTGACGCAGTCAAAACATTTTCCATCCAGCTCCCACTCACATTAAAAAATATATAAAGCTTGCTGAATTCGATTCCAAAAAGACAACAAGATCATGTCCCGACCCAGGGCCAATCGGAGCGGCCAACAGATGCGGCGTATCCCTTTCGACGAGGAGTTCCTGGGTATCGAGGAGGCCCCGAGAACCGAGGAAGAACAGTTGGTCGAGATGCTAGTTGAGCCGGGTCGGACTTCCCCGACGGACCACCTGAACCTGCTGGAGTTCCTGGACACGCTCGAAGTGCCCCAGGAGCTGGCTATATCGGAGTGCGACGGCGATATGCAAGACAGCACAACATGCGAAGCTGAAGAGGATAAGTGGCCCACTCCGCCCCCGAGGAACCACACCGCCGTCAGTAGCACCAATTCCAAGCAGAACCAAGAGGACGTGGAGAACCACCGAAGGATCTTCCGACAGCTGGGAAGGAAAGTGCCTGAGGCGCCCACGCAGCACCCCATTCTGGACTACCCGTTTGTGATGAAGCTTTTTCTGGCCGCAGGCAGTGAAGCGTTTCCTTTCCTTAAGTGGACGGAAAGCGGCCGGGAACTGCAGGTGGACTACGTGGACTTGCAGGACAACCTGGCCAGCGGTATGTCGATGTTCCGTAGTCGCAGTGTCGTAGAGTTTACGACGCAGCTTATGGAGTTGGGTTTTGAGAGGCTCTGGTCAATGACCTCCGAGGATCCCGAACGAGGCCGTATCCACCTGTTCTTCCAGCATCCCAAGTTCTCGAAGGGCCAGCTGGTGGAGCTGAAATCGCTGGTGGAGGATACCGGCCAGGACCAAGTCGAGGAAACCCCGGGTCAGTATCGAGAAAGAGAGCGAGATCAGCAGAGGGCGCGGATACGAGCCTGGGATCTTCACAAACAGGAAGACGAAGAGGAGCTGCAACTGCCACCGCTCCACCAGGCACCCTTGTCCCACTTGGACCGGATGAGCAAGCGGGGCGACCTGTGCAGCTCGATCCACAACTTTCGCGCACCGCTGCAGATCGTCCGCTCTCGCTTTCAAACTCTGCTGGCCTACCAAGTGGACTTGCAGGTGTTGAAGGATCACAAAGACAACGCCACTTCACCGAAAGGAAAAAAGGCTCGCAACATTTCCAACAATCAGACCACGGAACAGACTCCAGCACCTCAGGATATCACCTCGAAGTTCGTTAAGCCGCAGGAGTCTGTGATAACCATTGGCATCGGCCAGGCACCGGACTACGCCGGGTATTATGGGTCCGTGGATTTGAGCAAGGTGAACGAGTTCTTCTCGGAGTACCTGCCCCGTTACGGCGCCAAGATAACCGGATACAAGGAAATCGTCATGGACGCCACCAACAAATCGAACGGCTTCCAGCAGAACCTCCCCATCGGCATGGACTACTCGGACGAAGACGACGATGCTCTGCCGCCTATAGCCTCCTGCAGCATGGAAGTTGACATTGACAGCCAGCCCTCGACTTCAGCAGCGGCCAAGTCTAAAGCCACGAGTCGCAAGCCCGTAAACGACGTGGACCTGGAGCTGGCAATGCAGGAACTGTGCGATGGTCCCAACCCGACTCAGGCCGTGAAGAATCAGACCGCGGGGCCCACCAACAGCAAAGCCAAGCCCAAGCCACGGGGCAGGCCCAAACCCAAAAAGCGCCTTGAAAAGCTGCTGCAGTCCAGTTCCAGCGAAAACGACGACGACAAGGAGCTCCACCCATTGACGCCGACCAAGGAAGCACCAGAAGTGGTCCCTTCCAGGACTATAATGAAAGAGAAAATAGAGCTCGTGGATGAGGAGAATGGGGGGGTGACGTACATCATGGAAATCGAGGTGCCGGACGTTGGTCAGATGGCGCAGGAAAATGAGCACAACCCGGATCACTTGATAGAGGAGCTTCATGAGATCGGCAGTGATTTTGACGAGGCCGAGGTCGTGGAGAAAGAGGTGGAGGAGGAAGAGGTGGCGGAGGAAGAGGTGGCGGAGGAAGAGGTGGCGGAGGAAGAGGTGGCGGAGGATGAGGTGGCGGAGGAAGAGGTGGCGGAGGAAGAGGTGGCCGAGGAAGAGGTGGCGGAGGAAGAGGTGGCGGAGGAAGAGGTGGCGGAGGAAGAAGTGGTGGACGAAGAGGTGGAGGCAGACGAGGAAGATGTGGTGGAGGAGGTGGAGGAGGAATCGGAGGAAGAGGATGAAGAGGAGGATGAGGTCGAGGAGGACGACGACGACGATTACATCGCCAAAAACGTGCAGTACCGGACCGATCCGCCGGCGAAACGGAGGCGCTACGACCTCCGCAACTCGAAACGGAGCTCTATGTGATGGAGACTAAAAAATGTTATTGATTTCCAACCAAATGTGGTGTCCCTAGTTAGGAAAAAACTTAAACCAATTGTAGACAAATTCAAACGGCCGATGGCAATGCTGGAGGCTAAAACTCTGCCTTCAAACCAATAAATGTTACTCTTAAAATACTATTTTCTATTGAAATCTCTATTATTTGTATACTAGACTATCTTTTGGTCATTCTCCTCGAATCGAATCTTATTTATTACTTACCAAAACGCATTCTTTTGACCATCTCCACTCGGCGTATCTGTGGGCCTTTCCATTATAATAACTTTTGTGGGTTTCCTCGGCCGGGACATATGGGCAATTAAATCGCTTATCGCCCTTTGATCTCTCACGCCCTCAGTGCCCCATTACCGGGCCAATCAAAAGTGTAATATCATCTGGAAATATCATACCGCTCCGAGCCGAGAGCCAGCACCCACACAGACCCATCGGGGGCACAATCAGTCGAATGTTTACAAGTTTTATGAGCCACCAAATAACAAGACGAACAACAGGCAACAGGCAACTGAAAACGAAACCAAAAACGAAACCTGAACGGTCTTTCGAGGCGGGCCAATCGAGAGTTCATGTCGAAGGGTTTCCAGATTCCGGATATCTGCGGGGAGATTGGATTCGTTTCGGATTCGCGAGAGGCGCAAAAAATAAGCATCTTTTATATATAACTCAGCGTGAGCTCAGACACGATTTTATCGTCTTTAATTTGGTTTTTATTTGATATCATATTTCAAGACCCGGCCGAGGCCAATCGAAGAGCCTTGCCAAAGCCCCAGACGCGGCGCAGGTCGGTCGGCGGATCCGAGTCCCTGGAACGCTTTTTTTTTGGGAGAAAGAACTTTGAGTCAAGACGTCATAATGTCATAAAAATGTCACATACTTTTAATAATTTTATGACAGCTACAAAATCATAAACAAAACGCTCTGACAGCAACAACGCACTGCGGCTGGGAGAGATCTTTTGGGAGTCATCATAATGAGATGTGTCATGTTTTGCCTTCCGAGAAATGTTTCTTGTTCTGCGTTTCTCGGTGGCTTTTGGCTTAAAGGGAGAGCGGGCCTGATGGCCTGGCTGCCTGCCTGTCTGCCCCCCAAGAGCCTTAATTGTGAACATGACAGCCTGATTATTAAATTTGATGTTTAAATGATGAACTGGAAAATATGGTGATATTCGATATGAAATAGTGAAGAGCAGAGTGACAAAAAGTGGCTTGGCTTAAATACCTTGCCATGGTTACTGGACTCCCAACTTCGTATTAAACTTTGGAGCAAAAACAAACACCCCACTACCTTGGTTTCTGTTTGAATGCATTTTGTGTATTGTTTGTCATAAATCTATTGTGATACATACCCACCTCGTAACGCCTCACCCTTTCAGCCGCGGTGGAGTTCAAAGGAGCTCCCCGTATCAATAATAATGGGACAACAAAAAAGGCCGCCAACTGGACTGCCGCCCCCAGGATGGGGTTGGAGGTAGTCACCAGAGCACAATAGCTTTAAATTGACATTTACATGAATATTTAATGAACATCCTTTAATCACGAGGCTTCCGCGGCGCACTCCCTAAAATATTCCGACTGATGGAAATGATTTCAATGGATTCGTGAGGTCGCTTTAATTTTGTTTTTTTTGGGGGGAAGTGTGATAAACCGGGACTATGTAGTATGATATTCATACGATAATTTCACGTGTCAGCTCCTCATAAAAAATATTAAAGCGTCGTAATTCGAAACTGGAATTAATGAAAAGCCTGATACTCTTTTCGGGTCTTCTTGGCTCGTATTAAGTCCAGAACTCTTTATATATAATATATTCATTTGATTAGTGAACCATTTCGTTATTTTACTATTGCTTTTACGACTTGTACACAACTGAAATTATTTTGCGAAAATTTTCGCTATTTGATTGTTGTTTTTATTGCTGGAATTATGGCGCTTTTTGATGACAAAGTTATAATTTCTCCAAAAAAATAGCGAAGCCCATGAAAAGCCGAATTTTGGCGCAAAAAAGAGTGTTCCAGCACGCACGTGATTTTGACAATGTTTCACCCTCGAATTTTTTCATAGTTTCCTGCACTTTTGATGACGAAATGAACCAAACTTTTTTGTGACGGAAACCCTGCATGGAATCATGAAAAAAGCTTAGCCGATTCGGTTTCCAAAGGGTCTTATCTGTTACACTTGATAGCCGACGATCGACTTTGTTTCACCGCCCAGCGAGATCTCCCGGACGAATCAATATTTTGAAATCACATTCCTCATTGAAACGAAAACATTTAAAGGCCACCGCCGGCTTTTTGTTTTAGTTTTTATTTAATGCGTGTCAAGTGGTCATAGATTATGAATTTTTATGGTTTCTGGGAGCTACCCTTTTCTGTTTTCCAAGCAATAAGCAATAAAACCCGGCTATGACCTTCAACCCCGTCTTTTTCCGGCTGTCTTCCTTCCTCGTCTGGCGTCTGTCTGTCAATTGCATTTTTACGATCTCGATTTCCATTTCGATTATTTTCGTTACTGCCAAGTGAGTCACTGCATCAAAGATACTGTCCCTGAGAGCTTCACTTACTTACTCCACTGGAGTGACTCATGGAACGGCAATGGAGATCCAATCCATCAATCAATGTGCCAGAAACCAAGCCCCGAAGAACCTACTTTCCTGCTAAACTCTTTCTTTGCCTTTAGCACCAACTAATTAATGTCAATGAATTATTTTGAATAATTTTTAACCGCACTGGTGTGGGACCTTTGACAATTAGCGGCTAAAATATGGCATGTAAGAAAATCATTTTTCAAAACACAATGCATATTAATGATCTGGCTTGCATGTTTCTTTCGAAAGAAGTGCCATAATTAAAGGGTGTACAATGAAGATCATTAAGTGGAGAATTTCTGGGAAGTGCCAGAGGCTAAAAAATTGATAATATTGGCAAAAATCAGTCAGGAATCTTTCCTACAATCTCTCACCCATGCTTAGCTTGACTAATTGAACGCCTAATATCGTTTTCCCCTTCTGCTGCTCCAAAAAACTCACTCCCATCAACACTGGAAGGCGACTCCCGGTTTCTGTAATTCGATATTTTCGTTTTCTAAAAATTTTTCACTAAATGTGTTCAAGTCCACGATATCGCTTTCACCCTTGTGGTCTCTTGGTTGCAGTGTCTTGTCTAATGAAGCGTTTAAACTCCCGTCTGTGGATGATAATTAACGCAACTCCATTTCCTAACTGAGCTCAAAAAAAAGGGATCTCATTAACCCTTGACATTTGTCACACGAATTTCTGAAGGATTTCGTGTCCTGCGGAGTCCCGGTGGAGTCTCGAGTGGATACCGAGTTGATGTTGAAGTTTTGAGCTCCTTTTGTCTGCCCGTACAAGTCAATCTACGTGACATCCTTTTTGTCCGGGTTCTTACTCCTGCTTACTCCTTTTTAGTCCTTGCTACCCCACACCCACTCCCACAGGCACTCCCCCACCCCTGGAGCTACCAAATTGTTGAAACAGATGTCAAATTGTTGTGCATTTTGTATTTTTTTTCCCGCTTTTCGCTATTTGTTTTCTTTTCTATGTCGTCGGTGGTGGTGGCCCCTTTTGTTTTCGTTTGTTTTGGTTCATTGACTTGGCGCGGTTTCGAATTTCTGTGAAATAGTCCACTCCGCCCCCGCATTCCGAGTAGCACCCTTCTAGGGCAACTCCTCCAGGGTCCCTCAATCGATTGGCAGTCCTCAAATGGAGCAACCTGATATGTGCTCACTCACTTTTGGACCGAAAGACACACATGTGTGTTTTAAATTCGGAGATCCTTCGCTAGATAGTGCCATATAGAGTTATGAGTCGAGGTCGTATATTTATAAAACCACATTATACCGTGAAGTTATGGTTGTTAGCGTAGATCTCTATATAGATCATTTAGTTCTGAATTTACAGGGTCACATAAATTATTCATGTATTGTAATGTGTGGGTTATCCGCAAGATAAGATATCTAAAAGATAGTTTATTCAAACTTAGCGGGAAAGTAACCCTTCCCTCTCGAAAAGGTGGGCAACTTGTGGCAGACACGCAGAAAGTGCGAAAAATCATTTTGCGATAAATAATACAACTTCATCAGCGACAAACGAAGAATCCCCAAAAGCGTGTTCCCCCCTCAGACTCCGGTTCCGAGGCCCTTCAGCCAGCTAAGCGTGAGGCGTGCATAAGTGAAATGTGCACAAGATACAAGATACAAAGATACATCCAAGACAGGCAACTACAACAACAGCTGTAGGAACGAGAAACGAGGCACCCGAAAAGGTAATTAATCATCGTCATGGGGCGTGTGCACGATTCGCTTAACGTGCGCCTTTGGCGGTGGTGCCACCAGAACCCCAGTCCCCTGCCCCCAGCCCTCAGTTCGGATGGGGGTCAGAGTTTGGTCTGTGCAGAGTCAGACAAAACATATTACTCAAGGCATTTCCATATGGTCTACTTGAACGTGGCTCCATCCCCCCAAAGAGGGCGTCGTGGCAAAGGCGTGGCCTGGCGTGGCAATAATCATAACGAGCTAAATTAATGCGTTTCATTCTACATCAAGCAGAATTCCCGTGCAGTTTTTGCAGCCTCCTTCTGTGTGACACATTTGCTGATTTAGCAACTTCTCGTGGGGTCGGGGATGTGGTGGGGGATGGGGATATTTTCTAATATTTTCTAAGCGTGTGCATGGCGCCTTCAAAACTCTACTCCTGCTCGAAAGTTTTGCAGAATATTTTTAATTGATTGTGTGGATGATTTCAGCGATTCTGCGTGCCATTTCATTTGTTCAACAGGGCATGGCGGGCACGTATTTATTTCTTCTGCCAGCTAATTGGATGTTGGCTAATTAGATGGTTGGTTGGTGGAATTATAGAATCACCTCTTCAGAATAAATATATCGAAAACCCTTATAGATCTGAGATGACTGGTATTGGCCAAGTTAAGCTCAAGTCTACCTGTGGCCGGGAAACAAATTCCCTTAGTCTCTGGGAAAAAATCCACGTGCTTATCTGTCGCGATTGCGAGAGAATTTATTGGAATAAACAAAAAACAGCTGTTTATGGCAAACAACAACAAGAAAACACGAAGTATCTGAGAGATACGACAGAGAAAAAGTACCATCCACGAGCGAGTTGCTATAAAGAGCAACGAAACCAGTATTGGGGATATTTATGGCAGGTTTTTAACTCATGCGATAAGCCAAGTAAACAAAGCTAAGAAATGAGAATAATAATTATTATTTATACATAAAAAATTCTGCTAAAATTAATTAATAATAATACAAATTTAGAAAAATTTCTAAAATTTATTTCAAAATTATTTGATTATTTTTTAACATTATTTCTGGCTCCAACAAACATTCCCATATACCAGCCGGTTTCCTCTTGAAAACTCCCCCATATCGCTGCCATAAACCCGACGACCGCCGAAGTGCCGCACGAACAAAAGTCGGGAAACGACGGTGCTGCGACGAGAAAAACTTCTGTTTGGAAATTCAGTATCAAACAGAAAATCGTATCTTGCGGATGCGGAGGTCGGACGCCGATTCGGATTGGAAGCCCCGCCAAGATACATTTACGTAAAAAAAAATCGCAGCGCGTTTTCGGCTTTAATCAGGGAGGAAGCGAAAAGTTTTCCGGCCAAACCCTCCCGAGTTCTGGAGGCCATAAAATACAATTAGAAAGTGCAAACATGAAAAAGTAAAGAAAACAGCGAATAATAATAATAAAAAGTGGCTTTAAGGATTCTCCTCTTGATGCCCTGGGTGTGTGTGCGTGTAATTGGCCTGATTGATAACCGCTGACAGCCTTCCGTTTAGAATTCCGGCAATTGTATTACCAAAATCAGCCGTAAAGTGTGTCCAAAGTGTACCAGTTCCAGTACCAGTGAGGTAGAGGGGACCCGGGTCCAACTGCTCCTGCCCAAATTTTGGGGAATTTTCAATTAAATTTAATCACATCATCACGGACTATACACTGACAGGGACTTGTGTCTAACAAAATAAAGGATTAATTGATATCTAAAGAGTTGTTTGTCAGGAGTCTCAAGTGTTTCCCAAGGAGCTGCAAATATCAATAATTATATTTTCTAAAAGGTAAGTCTGATGTGTCTTAAAAGAAAGTGTAGATTCTCCAAAAAGGCCATGGAGCCACCGAAAGTGTCAATTGATTGACAGTCTGGTAGCTTTCCGGCCCCTCCTTCTAACTTCCTACCCGTTATGGTCAATTTCAAATGGGTCAAGTGGGTAGGCTTTTGGGAATGCCAGGCAGGTCTGACACTTTTTTCGGGAAACCAGCCCGACCCACCCCGGAGTATGAATTAGCATAAGTGCATAAAGGTATTTCGGAGTGTTATCCCAAGCTGGCATCTAATTAAGGGCTGCATTGGCTGCACTGCATTTAAATAGAAGTTGGCGGCAGTTGGTTGGGGTCTTTGTTTGGGGCCTTTTGGGTGCCTCGGCCTGTCTGTCTAATTATGCGGCGTGAAAATGCAATGCATGTACAAATATTGACGCGTCACAGTCAGGCTCTTTGAATGTTATTGTGGCAGTTGTTAACAGTAATTTCTAGTTGTTGGCTTGTTTGTGTTTCGGTACGCGTGTCTATTTAAAGTGGATCTCGTATCGAACAATATGAGCTTGAAGTTTAAACAGTTTAAAGTGCCCGATATCCCTTTGTTTAGACAGGGGGACATGAATGATTGATTCAAGACAAAACAAAGGTATAACACCCACGTAGTTCAGAGTATCTTAAAGTTTAAGACTAATCCCAAGATGATTGCATTTAAAATGCATCTGAGACAAGGTCCTGCTTTCACCTTAACCCAAAGCTGTCACTCCTGAGGAGCTGGTTGGATTTAAATCTAGTTCAAGTGCTTGGAGAGTAATTAGTGAACATGTGAATGGTCTTGCATGAGGTCTAGAACTAGAAGAAAAGTGGAATTCTCCCCAAGTGGCCGCTCAAGTGGCTACGAAGGCCCAAGGATCTCCGCCAGCATGTTAATTATAAACATTAGAGCCGCCAAGCTGCAGGAATGGAAATTGCTTTTTAATATTTTCAGCGTGCGGAGGATAAGAATGGAAAGATTTCCACTTAAAGATTAGGAATGCCTGCACCTACGCACTCCAGTGACAGACAGGGGTTAAGAGTCAAGTGAGAAGTAGAAGGTGCAAGCGAGAGGGACGACAGGCTCTCGCTCCCGGATGACAGCCACTGTCACACGTTACGCATTAGCGATCTGCCATCTCGCTCCGATCTGCTGGGATGTATCTTGTATCTTTTGTATATTTAGCTTGGGGGCTTGTGCAATGTTTGTGTAAGTGTGTTGGATCGCTCACAGCTGACACAACTGTTGGTCTTAGCCCTCCTCCTCCTCCACCTCCTTCCCTAGGCCTGTAGTGTGAATGAGATGTGAGCTGCATTAGTAAATGGAGTTAAGAAAAGTAAGTACTTTGTCCCGGTACTTCCGGCTAAGGTGTTGACTCTTTCCGAGTAATTCCCAGAAAATGTGGGTGAACAGCTGCCTTTGTTTGGGGAAAGTACATACTCTCCTTTTTTTTTTTTTTTTTTTTGAAAATTAATTCAAACTCTGTAGGAAACTACATTTAATTTTATTCGGTCCTATCTTTTAATCTCACCTTCGAGAGCCGCACCTAGACCAGAAACCAGAAACTATCTGCGAATGAATAATCCTTTTGTGACGTGAATAATTCCAGCACATTATCCCCAACCCCTCCCCCTCTCCATGCCACTCCATGGCATTTGCTGGCCAAGTGGTTGCATTTTGGCGGTTTGGCGAATGGCGGTTTGGACGGTTCGGCGGTTTCGTTTGGCGCTCGTTTTGGGAAAGTTGATTTGTTTGAACTGATTATGGGCATGCTCGGTGCGGTTTGGCTTTGAGCTTACTCCTGCTCTCGGATAACAGTTTGAAATAAGTTGAAGTCGAATTTAATTGGCCAAACTATCTGGCTAACGCTTGCCTCTGCCCACTCCAATTAGACGATCCACAGCCCCGTTGACAAATATGCGATGACATGGAAGACGTGACTTATCAGCCAAATACAAAGCAACACCAGAAGGTGGAGGAGATGCACGTTTTGATGTCATTCTCTACCTCCGCCCTAGGTGTGGGGCATTAAAAACTAAACATATAGTCTTCCCTTTACGGTTTGCCCAACAGATCTCACAGATGCCTACACCTGTCGTCCGACTAATTTATATCTCGCAGATAAAGCATCGCATGACATGTGGTGCACACTCAAAGTTATGGCCAGCGTTGACCAATATGAAATCATTAAACAACAAGATAAAAGGAGAGATGACGACAGCCAAACAAATTTGTTTAGAGTTTCTGTAATTTGCATAATTGAGGAGGAGCCGGAGGAGGGGTCTTGTCTCTCTGGTCAGTATTGGGTTACAGATACAAACATTCAGATAGAGTCTAAAGTGCTGGACGGAGCAAGGTTGGTGACATTTTCCGTGGAACTCGGACGGTCTTTGAATGATTGAGTTATGGCCGAGATCCCAAAAGATTTTGTTCATATACTTGAGTTTTGAATTTCAATGAGGTACATAATAAGTCTGGCATGTTTATGATTGAATTTTGAAGACTCACCTGAGCAAGTTTTCTATTTCCCACTCGTTTGAGTTCATTTCCTAATAACCATCAACGGCAGGATATATAAGCCTTCTGAATGTTTCAGTTCTGACCAGTTAACTGTTTTTTTATGAGTGCCTAGAGCCAGTGGAATATAATTTGTGAGCAACCCATCCATCTGCCCACAATGATTACGCAATTTGCATACCGCTCACGTCGGCGCCCGGGTGTCAGGATCTCGGAATCACTCAGAGCTACTGAGAGCTGCCAGTCCAAAGCCCAAAGCCCAACCGAACTGGAAACCGAAACCAAATAGAAAACTGCGTTAAATTATGATAAAGCCAAGTCGTTTGGCCACAAAAGAAGCCCATTCGCTTTATATTCAGCTCCCTGCCGCCTCGACCGCAAAAATGAACTGACCAAATGGCTCAGACGAGAAAACATTTTGCTAAATGCAGTTTGGCCGGGGAGATTAGTGCGAGTTGATTATTTACTTTGGCTTCAAATTGTGCAACGCAAATAAACGGAGTTGGGCTCCAGCTCCAGCCACAGCATTATTATGTTAATGGCAACGAAATGCAGTTGCAGTTTGCAGTTTGCTGCAAGCAGTTCTCGGGTCTGTTGCTGAACGTGTTGTCCATGCGGGTCGTAAATTTCACTCCATCTCCTTCTGGAAGCCAACATAGCTCCCAAGCCAAACAGCCAAAGTCCACAGCCAGAGCCAGACCGAGGCGATGCATGTTGATTATTTTTATTGCAATTGACAAAACCCGGCCGTTGTAATTGGCCAGCTGCTGTTGGCCTTTCCTTCTGATTTCTCCGCCTCTAAAGACCAAAATCTTTTCTTTAGAAACTGTATTGTCATTGTAATAAGCCACCTTTATCTTCTATCGACCCATAACTGTAAACTTTTCGCACATAAATCTTGGAAGCTCCTCGTGGGTGATCGCCACACAAAAGCGCATCTCATGATTGATCATCTTTCTATAATTCATTAATGTGACACCCACGCCCGCTAAAAAAAATAGCCAAAAAATAGATGAGTTTCTTTTGAATATTTTAATAATCAATAAATTATTTCAATCAAGGAGGGGAGCGTTGCACGATGATGCGCCCGCATACGACTCGGTTGTCTGAGGAGGAACGGGATGAAAAATGATTCTGCTGAGTCAAGATAGCGCGAAAGAGACGGCACCAGACGGGGGGAGAAAGGCGGCGAACGATTGGCAATAGTCCCGGGGAGCTAATCTTGTCGGGGCAATCGCGTTGCGATTATTAACCCTCATAAATAATGCCCTCGCACACACAGTAGCCATAACACTCGGACTTGCGACACAGACTCCTCATTTTCATTAGCATGTAAGTCCCTGGGAGTACACAGGAAGAAAAGGACCTGGCCTTGCATTCCTCCTTATCACTGGGCACTCTTCTAATAAATGTTTTCCAATTTTCATTGTGGTTAGTAATTTTTTCTTGGCAAGCCTATTGTTGTCTGCGGCTTTTCGGTGAAAAATAAAAGAATCAGAGGTCGGGTAGAGGCCGGGAAAATGCTTTATCATCTCAGGGAGTGGGGCTGGAGGCTCGTCTTTGTTGGCTTATTGAGCCGTAACTGCAACTCTGTTTGTTTTTCTCTCGTTATAATTTTTTTGTGGTTTTCCTCATTTTTTTTTGGTTATATCATAATTTTTTTTTTGCTGATTAATCATCCTTTGTGGAGGGGGTTATCTGGCAGCTGTTCTTGAAAAAGCGGTGAAAGTGGCTGGAGCTTAATTTTCTTGTGTTTTCATAACCGAAATGGGGTTATCGATGAAATTAGTTAGCAAAAATTTTAGAAATCAATATTGTATATCTTTAAAAATATCCTCTATTTTACCCTCTAACCTCTGCCATCCTGCCAAGTCATCATTTTTCACGTTCTACCCGCTTATCCTGTCAAAAAATGTATTCCTTTTTTTATACTTTACCCCAAAAAAAAGGGAACAGAAAGGTGACCAGCTAATGCCGCTTTCTAACCATTATAATTTGCGCGCTTTTTTTGTGCCATCTCACCGCAACCAGAACCAGAAAGTTATAAATCATTGGCGGGGCTATATTTTTAATAGAGTTGTTACTCGTGTTTCCATTTTTTAAGGGTCGATTGCGGTTGATTTTCCATCTTAATTAAATGCCAGGCTAGTTGGCCGTTTTGAGAAGGGTTGTGCTAACTCTGCTGTAATCTTTTAATTAGCAAACATAATTCTCGTTTTGACCTTTCGATAACCCAAGCCTTTTTCTTTTTTTTTTGCAGGTGAGTGGACTTTCCAGGAGATATCTGGGTGTATGACAACTTTATAATCAACAAAAGGAGAAATTCGTTCATTGAGAAAACTCAAATCAACTGAAAATCTTTTCACACCCGAAAGATACCAAGATACAATAGAGGTAGGGTGATGGCACCGGATAGGGAGGGCTTTCCTTTTTTCTTTTTTTTTTCCAGCCAGCCTGGCAAACAAAGCGGTTTTGTCTGTTTTGAGTGACAAAACCGCAACAGACATTGACTTTTCACTGGTTTTCCTCTCCCCCGCCCAGTTCTGCCATTGGCGAAATCCCCAAAAACTTTAAAGAACCAAAGCCAAGAACATTGTCATCATCATCATCATTGGGTAGCCCAGCATTTCCTTCCGCTTGTTAGGAACGTTTTTTTTTTCTGGGGAGCATATCCTGCTTTTTTTTCTTCTGGAAGCTAGCGTCACATTTGACGCCCCAGAGAAAGCGGGATTAGAGTGATGGGGTGGTTTTCGAGGGTCTACTATAACTACCTTTTGGCATATGGGTTGGCTTGTGGTCTTTCTAGGCCCGCATGATTGATGGTTCTACCAAGTTTTCCACACCTGTTGTCACTAGAAAAGTTGGCGAAAACTAAGCCAGGCCGAAAGATGTGCCCTCGATAGGGTGAAGCTCTATAAAAATGGAATAGCCCAAAGGGAAATATCCCTTATTATGGTTATTATTGTCGTTTTCAGATGGGCTTCCCCAAGGAAATGGATATTAGAAGTTTATTATAATATTTCTTGAAATAAGGATTATTATTTGGTTTTGAAATTGCAGAAGATTTGAATACTCAATTCTCAATTCTACTCCTAACTCTCCAATGACACGAAAAACATCTCTAAGTCTCCTAAACAAGCTTCTCTTTTGGGTTCTTCACTTCCGGGACTTGTACGTCAACGTCAAACTTTGACAGATGCCAGCCAGTCAGCGGAGAAAGGAGAAAGCAGCTGGCGAGCAGATGGGTGGGGGGAAGGAAAAAAAAACCAAAGCATGGATTTACTTTTATTTTATTACTGTCATTGTTGCTCGCTCGTCTTTCCTTGCCAGCTGCCGGGTGGGGATGGGGTGACGAAAGGGGGTTGCGAGTGGGCGGTATCCTTTGCCGTTATGTGGCTTTTGCGTAAGGATACGAGCCCCGTTCATGGTCGTCGTTATCCCTTTGGCTCGGCGACTGAGGCGCCTTTATCATCCATCTGAGTTTTCCCCACCCACTCCTCGTCCTTTGTTATCTGCTGTTTAGTCAGGCCAGGAGGGAGGGGAGATGGCTGGCTGATGTTCGGGGAAAAGGGAAAGTCCTTCGCTGGCTGCTCCTTCGACTGGCAGCTTTTTGGCAAGTCGTAAATTAAAAATGGCTTAATATGTAAATCCTGCTCCCCGGAATCCTGTTCCTGTTTCTGTTCCTGCCGTCTCCCTTTCTGGCTGCAGATTAGTTTTGTGGATACTTCGGCTTACGCCTGTCCCTGTCTTTGCTCCAGTATCTAGCTCCATGCATCTGGTCTTCTTTTCTTGGACATGGTGCTGCAAAATGTGTGCTCACTCTTTGTGTGGGGTTAATGCTGTTTTTGGGTCCTTTTCACCCTGCCGGCCTCACATGTCTTGTTTTTGTTTTCTTTGCTGTTGCGACACTGATATGCTTGTGTTGTCATTAGTTCCCCAGCATCCGATGAATCTCCATGTTGTCATGTTTGTTGCAAAGTCAACTCTTGGATAAACTTCTGTCCCCGGATGTTGGTTACCTCTCGAATTGATTCAATAAGGATTACCAATCTGAAATAGTTCAAGGCTCGGACTTAATGTGTCACTCCTGACCCCATTCACTGGCCCATAAATTCCCACTAATGGCCACTTTGCATCACTCCAATCCTCCCGAAATGGATTTCCATTAATTTATTCCCTTTTGCGAAATGCAGTGTCATTTAATTTCAGTTTTTATTCTTATTTCCCCAACAATTTGTACCTCCCTCTGGCCTGTGCATGTCGAAATGCATTTTAGTAATTATTTTAGCTGCTTTTCACTTTTGTTGAGGGCAGTAATTAACATTCGAGCGGTGGGGCAAGGGTCATTGCAGAGGGGCTTGGGGAATGGTGACCCACTCGACAGTTCTTTGCCAACTTGGTCATAATTTAATTGCCTTTATGACTTTACTAGATGAGAATTAATGTTTATAATTTATCAAATTAATGTACATATATTACCTTTTACACGCAACTAAAAAACTGAGTGAAATGTAATCCCTTTTTGTCGACTATAATGAATTAACGATTAATTGCAGTGTAATTGGTCAAATTTATAAAACTAGCCACTACTTGAAATTTAAACTCTACTGTTGAAACCCCACAAATACCAACCTCTACAAAAGCCCATCACAAGCCCTTCATGACCGAGTGACCGATTTCCGCGCCGGCTTCTGGATGCGAAAGGTACAGAGCAGGTCCTCGTCCACGCACATCATCGCCCCGGCATTGTCGAACTCCCCGCAGTAGTTCGGCGCCGAGAATATGGTGATCAGTTGCCGTTTGGCGAAGAACTCGTACCCATCCTCGACCACCTGGTGACCCCGACAGATGAGGGTGAACCCGAACCGATGCAGGAACGAGCTGACCACGTCCGAGCCGAAGGTGTAGCTCACGCCCCGCTCGTTGGGCCCCCAACCGATCATCTTGACGTCCGGGTCCGACCAGAGGATGTCGCAAACGACCCCCGAGTCGGGCACCTCGATGGGTCTCTGTATCTCCCGGATCTGGTCCAAGCTGAACAGGTGGGGACTCAGGCCGCCGTGGCAACAGAAGATGGTGTCCTCTATAATCGCCGCCAAGGGCATGCAGTTGTAGCAGTCGACAAAGGTGCGCCACATCTTCACCGTGTAGCGTCGCTTACACTCGTCAAAGAACCCGTAGAACTGATTCAGGCTCGCGCTCTCGTGGTTCCCCCGTAGCAGAAAGAACTTGTCCGGGTACTTCACCTTCAGGGCCAGCAGTAGGGTCAGGGTCTCGATGGACCGCTTCCCCCGATCCACGTAGTCGCCGAGCAGCAGGTACGAGGTGTCCGGCGGATAGCCGTTCGAGTTGAAGTATCGCAGGAGGTTGGCGTACTGGCCGTGGATGTCGCCCAGCAGGTTGATCGGGGCTGGGAGCTCCAGCAAGGAGGGCTCCTCCAGAAAAAGCTGTCTGGCCAGGGTGCAGACAGTCTCGATCTCCCGGGTGGTCAGCTGGACAATGGAACCGAAGTCCGCCGCCAACTTCAGCTTGGCTATCAGCAGGTCCAGGTTAACACTCTCTTCGATTTTGAGACCCTTCCCACCGGAACGCCTCCTCTCGGATCTTTGGAACAACTTTTTCATTTTTTCATCGTTTGATCCCGAATCCCGATTTCATATATCCTTTTTCCGTGTTTTTTTTTAATGAGAATTTAGTGCATTTGTGTAGTAAGAGACTATTGCTTTCGTATATCGTTGGGTAGTACTATTTTGAAGTCCTCAGTGATTTGTGAGTCAAGGGGGATACTGTTTCAACAAGTTTTTGCCTGTTTTTTAATACTTCCTTTTAAATCTCGGATAAGCAGAGCACATCTACTGTCTCTCAATCAACTAAATTCGAAGTACCAGCTCCATCTACCCCCGGCTTTGGGTGGAAGCCCCCCTTCCGCTCGCATTGTCAGAGTCCGCCCTTCATCTTTGTGTGAGCCATCGCATCCGTAGCTTTTATTTTTCAAATCAACATAATGGACACTTTGCCCGACGGCAGCTTCAGCCAGTCAGTCCCCCGACCAGTCCCGGGTGTTTAGCCAGCTCCCCCCCTCTGGCCACGTCCATGCATACATATAGACGAAAAAAATGTATAAAGGCAACTTCAGTTTTGGACTTTGACAGCTGACACAGAATGCAGAAAGCAACGCACTTCGGGTGGGTGGGCCATCCCAGCCCCCCAGCCCCCAGTTTCCCGCAGCCCAAGAGGGTGGATCAACCCCCTAGACTTGGAATCTTAAGCCGAAACCTACCGCAGATGCAAATTTTTGTACAGAAAACAAAAATATTTAAAACTTGTTAATTGGTTTTTAGTTAAGGATGTTTGGGTATGAGCTTGGTAAACATCCATGCTTCTCAAGAGGTACCAAGAATTTACAGCCTACCCTTCACTAATTTCTCTCAGTGTATGCCACTCATTAAACATTTTGCTAACTGCAACTTGGAGTGTTGTTGCCGCTTTCGGGCCTGTTGTCATGGCAAGTGTCACAACAGTCGCCTGCATTTTGTTGATTTTACGAGCATGTGACAGGCCGAGATTCTGCGAATGCATCAACCCTGAACCGAGAAATGGAAATTGAAGAGCGGGATGGAGATGGCCTGTAATCTGGGAGCTGGTAGCTGGGACTTGAGACTTGGGAGCGGGCAACAAATGTAAGTCGTGTGATTAGTAACGGATTCCGCAAAGGGGCGCTACTGGGCGGGGTTACCCAAGCACTCAGACCTCCACCCCATCTCCCAGATCTCTCGTTCCTGATCCATCAAGCTGACAGGACTGTCGCGCTGCCCACATATGAGCATTTTTCTTTGAAGAAGAGTATTCAGAGCCTTGACACAGACCCTCAGCCGGTCGCAGCCTTTTCCCATTCGGCCACTGTCACCCAGCTTTGATTTTCCTTGGATTTCCTTGAAAAATCTTTGAAGTTTTTGTGGAAATTATGTCTCTTTGTTTAGGGCTGCTGGTGTTGTGCAAAAGTAAATACGAAAGAGTTTCACACGCATTATTATCACTGCACTTTGCATTTGAGGAGAGAGTGGGGAAATGCAAAGATTGCAGCTATTTTTAAGCGGCTTCTGTTTGGGGCAAGTAAACACAGCTGGACAGAGCAAGGGTCTGTTTATTTGGGAGGGTCCCTGCTGGGGCCTTGGTTTTTCTTATCTGCTCCCCAATGCTCCCAACTCTTTCTCGCGACTCTCTATCCCGCTGCTCTTATCTGTACTCTGCTTATTGTTGCCCGCACACAGAGTTACACTGAGAGAAATCATTTTAAGTGATTTTAGAGACCTTTATTACTTAAAATTCCTTTTATATTTTCCTTTTATATATTTAGTATCACTTTATTTTAATATATTTATCAGCCGGAGACATCCGTCCCCTCATTAATTGCATGTGTCGTTGTAGTTGTTAATTGCTTGCCGCTACTTCTTGGACGCACCACTCCCCCAACCTCCCAACTCACTCCACTGAGTAATCACTGCACCCATCAATGTGGTAGTTCCTTCCATACTGATGTTGCTGTTGTTGGCTTTCGCTTAATGGGTTTTTATTTGTTTATGCGACTAAGAGTAAGGGTATGAGTAAGAGTATGAATATGAGTGTGAGTGCATGAAGATGAGGGATGCCCCCTGCTGACCGCTCCGCTCCATCTATCCATCTCGCCCGTCTTCCTAGCCTCGTCTTGCCAATTTAGCCGCCTTTTTTCTGCTGCTTTCCAGCCCCCCATGAGAATTTTTACAAATGTCTCTAATGACAAGTGCTCTTTGCTGTGGGGAGTGGGTGGTGGTGGGCTAGAGTTTCAAAATTGTTTATATTTAAGTGGGCGCGGCGTAAAAATTTTTTCCTTCCAAGTTTTGTTATTAATTATTTGTTTGTTTGGCTTTTTGAAGTTCTCGAGATTTGGGGAAGGAGGCAGGGAGGTCGCAAAAGTGGGGCAAGTCTTTTGTTTTTCTAATTAATCATATCTTAGAATTTTTTTCCTCCGAATATTTATTAATTTTGAAAATAGTACGGGCCTGTCTTTAAAAAAACGGGGAATTTCTAACAAATCCCCAAGCGGAGGCTATATCTTTGCCAATTTTTATCCGATTCTTAAGCTGAGTATCTCAAAAAGATTGTAGATAGATTCTCCACAATTCTGCATCAAAACATAGAACACGATTTTTTAATGGATTTTTTCTCAATTTTTCCCATAAGACCTTTTTAAGAAATAAGAAAAATCTGATCCTGGCCAATTGCATCTGTTCCTGGTAAGGGGAATTTCCAAAGGATTAGGGATGTCTTTTCCAATTAAAATTTAATCCAAATCCATTTTTTCTCTAACTCTACCATCCATAATTTTTTTTCTTGGCTTTCATAACAAACCATCAATCAGGCTTTGTCCAATTTCTTGTTCCGAAATACAATATCAATTAAATATTTATTGGGAAGGAGATGCAGAGTTTTCCCCTACAATTTGCCCTCGGAAAACATTAAATACATCTGTACACAATCCCGAACTTAATTAACATTGGAGCTAGGGGAAATGTCATATCATAATTTCGATTTTTGACATTCTCGGGGTGCGATGGGTGCAGTTTTTGCGGGCTGTGACTAATTAAACACATTTATGGAGTGACAAACATGACACATGAGCCCTGTAAGGGAAAGTTGTTCCTACTGCCCTCATATACAGAACGGGAAAACCCACTCAGCTGACCCCGAGTGTTCATGTTTGTTGCTGTAGTTGTAATTATGTGTAACTCGGAAAGGACAACTGTTGATGTTCAATTGTCCTCGTGTGACCCCAAAAATGTTTGCTAATTAAGCAATGAAATAGTCGTCAGTAGTTGGAGACTTGAAACCATTTTAAAGCAAAGAACCGAAAGAATCTGGTAGATTCTGGCTTGTAAAGAGCGTTGGGATTCCTGCTGAGAAGGTGACGTGTGCCGCTGAAGCTTTTATGCCTTTTCGGAGCTGTCGCCGTTCACACACTGGGGTCCAAAATAAATATAAATCAACTCGGAGGATCCTCCATCCACCTCCATCGCCTCTTTTTGGCCAGAAACAAAAGACTTCGCCGAACAAAAAACTATAAAGCGGGCGGGGGAGATAGACGGTTCTTTTTTGTTTATTTATTCATCGATTTTTATACTCTGGCAGGGACAGGGGAGTGAAAAACTTCTTGTAAATGGAAATGCATTTTCGATAAGCCATTGAAAGTCGATTTTCCTCCACCGAAGGTGCCCCTACCCCTACCCTTCTTCCCCGTTCCCTATTTTCCGACTAATTGTGCGTGTGTGTGTCTGACGTTGGGTGGCATTTTCTTCTCATTTTTTAGGGAAGCTGTTGTTTGCGGAGCTCCCACCGCTGTTTCGGTTCCTATTGATTTCCAGCTGTTTTTCCCGCTGCTTGTTCCAAATTAATTTCCCCACTAAACGGACTTTCATTGTAATTCTAATATTCGGTTTTTTTTTTTGTGGCTGCAGATGCGTGTTTTTCTCGGTTTTATGGATATTTTTATGTTTTAATATTTATGGTTTTTAATGTTCATATTTAGTGGTTTAAACACGACTCTTCTAAGTTCCTTTTTTATTGGCTTGTTCTGCAGCGGAAATCGATCGTAAAATTGGAGACTAAAGCCTAGCAATGTTCACACGCAGTGTCCCCCCCTAATAATTTACAATAGTTTATAAAAATACAAGAATCTGAAAACTCAAAAGTCACGAATAGGTTTTGATTTTGAACGGAAATCAAAAGAAAACAGTCTGAAAAGGACCTCGCCACTCGCAGCCATTTCCTCTTCTTAAGTCCTGATCCCGAGTAAGTCCTGAGTCTGCTCCTTCAGTTGCTGCACTTAGGCAGCTGGAGAGTAAACAATGGAAAGCTGAAGAAATGTGGAAGCGCTGGCCATAAAAGCAAGTGCTGCACTTGATCAGCTTAAATCAAACAAAATGAGGAACAACATTCCAGCCAGCAAGTCAAGCCAACTCGACACGTCGATGAGTGGCAAAGGGGGTGGCTGACGGCAAAGTGGGCGGTAGTGCGGTCGTTGAACGTCCATCCATCCAGTCGGTGGTGGGGGAAACGGAGATCTGTTATATATTTTTCAAACATTATAGCACTTTACACTTTTCACACGCTAAAATAATATTTTTGCAGTCCAGGGGGTGGGGCGTAGACTTTCAGGAGGAAGTGTTTACTCTACTCCATTTGGCCAAATCGCCCCCCGACGCCCTGGTCCTCGGCCCTTTCTCCTTCGGCCTCTGCGGGCCACTCTTACTGAGTGTGGGCTGTGTAAACAGAGGAACAGCAAAGGGAAACAAAAGCTGAGGCAGCGCCAAATGTCAAGTAGCCGTCAATTGGACGGGCGACACGGCCAGAAGCTGCCGAGGAAGGGGGCCAGACATCAAGTTGGGACACTTTGGTTAACCAGAATCGGCAAGAAAGACTCCTGCCAGCCCAGAAGCAGGCCAGAAAGGCTCTATACACCAAGAAAAATAATTATTCTTAAAGTAATTATAATATGCCATCTAGAAGATTGACCTCAAAACGTTTCTTAAAAGAATAGTCATACTTCTTAATTTTTAATTTTTTATGAAAAATACCAAGATAGTCTTTAAAAAGTATTAGTGTGGCCAAAGTGTTTGCATTTCCATCCTGTTCTTCAGCCTTGTCTTTGGGTTTTCAGTTTTTCCTTTTCTTTTTTTTTTTTCGGCAAACACTTTTACCGTTGACTCTGCTGGCCTTCCGCCGCTCGTAAGTGGGCTTTTCCTCGCTT